ATAAATAAAATGTCAAATCTTCAAATTTTTGAGTTTTTTACACTTGATATCTCCTGAAGAGAAACAAGTTTGTCCCTTCTCACAATATTTGATTGTTTGATTGTGTGCCTTATATGCTCCCTCCCCATAATGCATTCAATATAATGTAGAAGACTGTGTATTGACATTGGCTATAACTCCTCGTCTATTGTTAAATGTTTAGAGTTTTTGAAAGGAGAATTATTAACATCAAAGTAAGTTGGTTGTCAATTTTATGATGAAATATTCCCAGTCTTAGAGGGAGACAAGAATAATTAAAGACTGGTAATACAATAAATTATATGAAATGCATCATTGTAAATTTTCGACTCCTGAAGTGGTCAATGTAATTTTGAAGTCTGATTTGCAATGAAGAGCAAATGGATTACTCGATGCATTCACATATATGAGCAGGGTGACAAAGTTACATATACCAGCATCTTATGCATCGCTCAATTTAAGGTAGTCCCAGAAGTGACTATTGAACATTTTATGTGGGAGAATAATTGGTTTCAAAGATAAGAACCCACGAAAATGAAGATATATAGCAAAAATGCTATTAGTGAAACCACATACATGATTATGAGTCAAACCCCAGAAGAGGTAACTTTCCTAGAAGAAGACTAATACTATTCCAGAAGAAAATGAAACCCTAGAAGAGGTAAATGTCCTGGAAGAGACTAATATGATTCCAGAAGAATAAGTTTTCTAAAGAAACATCGGTACCGAAAGAAAATGAGATCTCTATTGATTATGTACAAGACTGTACAATATGGAACCAAAATGAAACACGTGTTAATGATATTATTGCATATGCTATGTCAATGGATGTAATGAATAAAAGAGATTACATGCCTAAAACTCAAAGAAGAGCACATGTAGATAGTACATAAATGATTTGCCAAAATGGAAAAAGACCCTGAAGGTCGAATATAAGTCACTCGATAAACGGAATATTTTCAGACCTAAAGTCTGAACACTCATAAACGTCAAACCAATAGGTTTAAAATGAGTGTCTGTAATAAACAGAAATAAAATGAATGAGATTATGCGATATGAGGAAACGTAATTATAAGGGACACTTGAAATCGACATCTGCGTCATAATAATCTCTGAAGGATTCAAAATGCCAAAAACAATAAAATAATACATCGAGATATGTGTGAAGAGATCGTGGAATGGTCTTAAGTAATCTGGTCATATGTGGTACAATTGACCCAGTGAATATCTCGAAAAAGAAAGATACAAATTTGAAATCAACCTATGTGTTGTCATTCAAGGATCGCTCTCAATATTCTTTATTATAGCAGTTTACGTCGACGTATAAATATCATTAGATCTCCTGAAGAGATGGAGAAAACAAAAAAAACTGTTGAACTCTTGAAGAGAAAATTTGAGATGGAAGATCTTGACATGACATAAATTATACTTTGGATTGTATTTTAAACACCTATATGATGGCACATTTGTCCATAAGTTAAACTACATCCAGAAGATGTTAACACGTTGAAATATGGATAAAGCTCATCCTTTGAACATAACCATGGTTGTTCATATATTCATAACATTCTAATCGCCTCCCAGAAGAGGGCGAAGAAGTACTTGGTCCTGCAATACCAAATTTTAAGGGTAAAATTAGATTGGTAATGTGTTCACATATGGTGATAAGACTTTTCCTTGGAAGTCGACTGAGCGAGCACCACCAGATAACTGAGGCAGCATAACTGATCCTGCAATATCAGTTAATATAGGTCCTGAAGAACCTAGCCAACATTATCCTGTAGCATAATGTTGTTAGTGTATAATGAACGATGATATATCTGCGGGGGAGTGTTAAATATGGCAGATATATTACTCTTATTATTTAGAATATCTAGTTACCTTGTTTACCTAGACTTTACCTCCTCCCTGTGTATGTATAAATACCCCGACATATGATGAATAAAGTACTCAGTTCAAAATTCCTGAAGCATGCAATCAGAAAGCTCGTGAGTTATTCTCAATCAAGTTACAGAGATTATTATACGGATTGAAACAATCTGGTAGAATGTGGTATAACCGTCTTAGTGAATACCTTGTTAGAGAAGGCTACATAAATGATCCAATTTGTCCATGTGTTTTCATCAAGAAATCTGAAGTTGGATTTGCTATCATAGCAGTATATGTAGATGACTTAAACCTTGTTGGAACACCAGAAGAGTTAATAAAGACTGCAAACTATTTAATGAAAGAGTTTGAAATGAAAAATCTTGGGAAAACCAAGTTTTGTCTCAGCCTGCAAATCGAGCATGTATCGAATGGGATTTTTATCCATCAATCAACATATACGGAAAAGGTCTTAAAACGATTTTACATGGATAAGGCACACCCATTGAGCAGTCCCATGGTTGTTCGATCATTAGATGTAAAGAAGGGCCCTTTTCGCCCTCGAAAAGATAATGAAGAACTTTTAGGTCCGGAGGTACCTTATTTAAGTGCTATAGGGGCACTAATGTATCTTGCAAATTGTACAAGACCTGATATAGCCTTTTCGGTTAATTTGTTGGCAAGATATAGCTCAGCACCAACACGACGATATTGGAATGGTGTTAAACATATCTTACGTTATCTTCGTGGAACAACCGATATGGGCCTGTTTTATTCGAAAGGTTCAGAATCACTAGTTGTTGGTTACACTGATGCTGGCTATCTTTCTGACCCACATAAGGGTAAATCGCAAAGTGGATATGTTTTTACTTGTGGTGGTGCGACAATATCATGGAGATCAGTAAAGCAAACACTAGTTGCAACCTCGTCAAATCACTCAGAGATAATGACGCTATATGAAGCAAGTGGAGAATGCATATGGTTAAGGTCAATGGTTCATCACATTCGAGAAACTTCTGGATTATCTTTTAATAAGGCTCCATCATTACTCTATGAAGATAATGATGCTTGTATTGCACAAATTAAAAGTGGCTACATCAAAAGTGACAAGACGAAGCACATATCACCAAAATTCTTCTATCCGCACAAGCTTCAGAAAAGTGGAGACATTGAGGTTCGTCAGATACAGTCATGCAATAACCTAGCGGATTTGTTCACAAAGGCATTGCCAACTACGACATTTAGGAAGATGATCAATGGTGTTGGAATGCGTCAACTCAAGGATCTTTGGCCATGTTTAGGGGGAGCATTACAAGCATTGTACTCTTTTTCCTTCGTCCAAGTTTTTGTCCCATTGGGTTTTTCTTGGCAAGGTTTTAACGAGGCAGTGTCATAAGCTCAAGTCTACCTAAATGGTGAACATCCAAAATCCAAGGGGGAGTGTTATGTACAAATGTCTTTTGATGTTCTCCATGTCTAAGTTAGACTTTTGATTTTCCCCTTTGTAAGCCTATATATAGAGGCTCCATATGTTGAAATGAGACATCCATATCTTTAGTCTCTCATTGCATTCTTTCTCTTTCACTCTCCATTGCACTTTAATCTTCCATTTGTGTTCTTATCAAGGTATATCTCTATCATCTTGTTCTTGATAATATTTCTATTATCTTTATTCTTAACATAAGTACATTTTTCTTTTCTAAGCAATATCCCAATTATTTTACATTATCAAAGCACTAAGCTTCATGAAATGATGATGAAACTTAATTTCAAAGAAGAATTTGTCTACTTTTTAAAATGGTCAATATAATAAAAATGTCTAATTTCCAACCGTGAATATATGTCCGCCAAAATGTAGAAATATACTCACATGGCCAAAAGAAAAGTTAGGGATAGATTTACTTATATGGTTGAGATGACATGATTGTTATTTTACCGAATGATCAAAGAAAACACATAAATAAACAAAACATTCTTTTGATGAAAGAGAGAGTATTTGAATTGCCATTGAGATGAGCACTCATCCAACCTATCTCATTCTTCTTCAAGATACAGTTGTATTACTTGTATCCTTGTTTGGACCTTGATGAATGATAAATCTTGCCTTGGTTTTTTTAATAAAAAAACATTGTTTGCAGACTTTGTGAAGCCCCTAAACTTCCAACACAATCTTTTGTTAGGACTTTGGGAATTGGGGATTCCAACACAATCTTTTGTTTGCAGTCTTTTGTTAGGACTTTGGGAATTAGGGTGACCATATTTTTGTGCTATGTAAAGACCACAAGGGTGAGCCATGGGTGTGTAATAGCATTTTTGGAATAGGGTATCCCCTACAGGTAAACAAATGGCCACTAATACCACACAAGAATGAAAAAAATAGAAAGAATAAACTATTATGACCACGAATGGTTTATTGAAGGCTAAAAAGTGATTGTTATAGCCAGAAAAACAATTATACTACAGAATGGATAGTGGCTAGGAACACAATATCACCAGAAAAAGTGTCAAGACTATATAAACAATAGTGAGCTATGCAATTCTTGTTGGGATTCCTCCAAGTCCTACATGGGATGTGTAGGGAGTAAATGAACCAAAATATATAGGTTCACCCAACCCCATTAGTATGAGGCCTTTTAGAAGGTGCCCAAAAATAAATCCGTGAAGAGTTGGCCCAGAGCATACAATATCATACTAATGCGGAGTTGGGGTGAGCAGTCCCAACAATTCTACTCATAGTAAAAACCCATATGTGAATGAATAAACTATTACTCTCTCCATCTGGATTTAGTTCTTCAAATTCTTTATAAGAAAAAAAACTCTTTTGAAAATATGAGTTTAAACTGTCAAGCAAAACCCCTTTGAACGAGTTCGTAACACATTCATGTCACCAATGCCAATACTCTGCCTCTAAGATAATTTAGACATTTCATCATAATTTGTAAATTGAATATGAAAAGTGGACAACCTTCCGGACAAACAAAACCAATCGAGAGACTATAGACTATAGAGCAACTACTTTCAGCCATCATAGTATCACTTAATGGCTCTCTGACATTGTAGTCTTTAGTGTTATTGACTCGATTACAATATAATATCAGGAGAAATTTGGAAAAGGAAAAAAAGGGGTTTTTTTCTTAAAATTTCATACATTTTTTTGTTCTTTGATTTATACAACCATTAATTGAAATCAATAGAACTGCAAAATGGAGTCTGAAAATTCACTAGGATAATTCTTAAAATTTCCGTCAATACAAATGAAACATTTCCTGTTTTTTTCTTTTTTGCCATTCAATTTTTTCCATAGAATACCTCAAAAACAACAGTCACAGTCAAAAGGACAGAGACGAGTACCTCCGGCATCGGCTTTATTGATACCCAATTCCTCTTCCGTATAAACAGTGAACCCATCGCCGGTCTTCTTCCTTGGCCTTGACCCGGACGCCGACTCGTTTTCTTTGCGGACTTTGTTGTCCTTTTCCTTCACCGGAGTCTTCTTCGGCATGGAATGCGCGTCTCCCTCATCGGAAGCTTTTTCCGGCTTCTTTCTCTTCTTTCCGGCGAAGATTTCTTCGATTTCGCTGCCGGATTTTAGCTTTTTCGATGCGGAAGATGGCAAGATCTGCGTCTTCTCCTTCTCTACAGCAGGCTTCTCCTCGGCTGAAGATTTGGACTTCTTCGATTTGTTCTTCTTCGGCATTTTCAGGCTAAAACTCCGTGAAGATGCAGCTTGCTACCCTGTATCTCTTTCTATGCCGGAGGACGATGACGATCTTTGAATGCTGTTAAACCCTATCTCACTTTCTATGCGATTTTTTGTACGGGTCCAGGCCCAACTCTTTTCTGACCAGTGGTTTTTTCGCTCGGTAATTACTGTAGCAGGGAGGGGGGAAGGGGTAGTGTTTAGGGAGGGTTAGGGGTAACAAATACCAATTTTTCGAACGGAGCACTGTATTGACAAGGTCATAATATGACTCGGGAACCTAAAGTCAAAAGAACCATTGTGAATTTTTAATAAGTTTTGAATATTTAATTTATTTAATAAATATTGCAATTAAAAAATATAAATAATAAATATTTAATTAACTCAATTATTTAATATTTGATTTTTTAAAAATTGAATTTTTGAGAGAGTAAGGTTTTAAAAATAAGTGTGAAAGAATTACACACTATATATTTTTTTGTATATAAAAATTGTAATTATTAATTTAAATTTTTTTTATTAAGTATTAAAACTAATATCAGCGTAATATAGAATAAAAAGAAGAGCACACAGTATCATCGACAATATGATAGACTCACTGAGTTAGTCTATTTGCCAAGATGACACATAAGCTCATTTTGGTAACAAAATGGCTTTATCTCATCCACACCATTCACCCTAATAACTACTCTCCCGTCCCAAATTATAATGCATGTTCACTATTCACAGGGTCAAACTTCATTCACTTTTTTTCTCTATTTTCGTTAGCAATTTGATAAAATAAAGGACTATTGTCACTATTAATTTTGTAGATTTTTTGATGTAGTATTTTAATATGTAATTTTTATTTTTTAACTATATATCATTTGTCATATAAAATGATTTGAAAATAATTTCAGTCAAACATCGTAAATCGAAACATGCGTTATAAAATGGGACCGATGGAGTATTACTTACTATATTACGGAGTAGTAAATAATAATAGTAAGTAGTGTGCAATAACCTTCTTACACATAATAATAATAATAATAATAATAATAATAATAATAATAATAATAATAATAATGTACGTATCAATGCGTGGGTGGCAGAGAAAGTTTTCAAAAAAAATTAATTTATTATCTTGCATTTGATAAAATAAATAAAATGAAAATATTTTTCAAAAAACATTTTTTCGCAATCAGGTAGAAAAAAAAATTTTCTTCAAAAGAAAATTTTTATTTCTTATCTTGTTCCTGACGCACATCCTTTTGTCCCCCACCCCCTACCACGGCCTTACCTAGACACCTACACTACCATTCTCGTCCATCGCCACCACACCACCCCCACTCTTCACCCTCCTCGCAACCCCGTCCAAACCCTCCCCCACCCACTCCCAACCCCAATATTAGACCTGGCAAAAAATGACCCGGCCTGTTTTTGACCCGAAACCCGACCTGAAAACACTGGGTTTTGAACAATGGTTTTGATGACCGAACCCGAAATGACCCGCTAAAAATGGGTCAAACCCGACCGAACCCGAACCCGACCTGGCCGACCCGCTAAAGTAAGAATTTTTCAAAATCATACACTTTACTACTCGTTTTTAGTGTACAAAAGAGAATTTTAATGATATTGCATAATTATCTTACTTTTTTCCAAAACTTAAGCATTTTTAAATTCCTTATATTGATTTATATATCTAAAAAATTACTTCAGAGTTTAAAATAAATCAGTTTTATAGATTTAATACATTTTTTTTTGATATTTTAAATTTATTTAATAGAAAATGTAAGTGGTAATGTGAATTTAAAAATTTTAAAAATCAAAGTCATAACCCGTTGGGTCGACTCGAACCCGACGATACTGGGTCATGAACATACAGTTCTCAACCCAAACCCGAATTGACCCGAACCCGAAATAACCCGAACCTGAAGTGACCGAACCCGAACCCAACCTGACCGACCGATTTGCCAGCCCTACCCAATATCCCCACCTATCTCGCCTATAAGCCCCGTCCACCTGCCCCTGCCTCCGTCCCCACGCTATTGAAATAGTATAATGGAGTATTTACTTGTCTTAAAATATCTTTTTTCAATTTAATTTTTAAATATTAACAATATATATATTATTTTTTTAAGAAAACATTTTCCTTCTTACCAAACGCGTACACCTTTAGTGTATCCAAATTCAAAATAGTTCTAGAGCCAACGACTCCGGTTGACTACTTAGCAGCACCTCCACGACATTTGCCCGTGGACCGGCTTTCTACACTCGAAGGCGTCCATCGTGCCAAGTGAGCCCATCAACTGCTTCCTCTTCGTCCGTTTCTTCTGAACAGTCTTCGCCCCCAAACCACTCATCACTACATTCGTCAATTTTATCCAAGCACATTGGATCAATCAAGTCTTCAAGCTTGTGATGCCTCTTGAGGGCTCGATTGTATTTCACAAAAAGTAGGTCATTCAACCTAGTTTGATCAAGCCTCTTCCTCTTTTTGCTATGGACCTGCCAAGTACGAGCCACCAAAACCAGAAACTCATTGTGTCCAGGCTAGGGTTAAATATGTTTTTTCGTCCCTCTAAAACAAGTGGATTTTGTTTTTCATCCTTCTAAATAGTGGATTATTTTTTTAATTAGTTCATCCCTCTAAAAAAATTCTCTCTTGCAAAATTGCAAATGATCCCTCTGTCGAATTAGGAAGCTAATTAGCTTATGCAGGCAGTTGGTCTTCATTCCCAGAGGTCGGTCCCTCGATTTCATCCTTCACTCAAGAAGATCCTCAGAATGCTACAAATCTGGGTTTCGAATAGATCAAAGTATATGCACACATGGGACTGAGCAGACATATTTCCATCAGTTACTCCATGACTCCAGTCATTTAGTGTTCCAGCTAGACAAAGTTCAAATTTTGATTTTGGCCATTGTTTGAGCAACAAAAAAACAGATGGCAATTGAATGAGTTTTGAAATACTCCCTGAGTTCCAAGTTTTTACCCAGTCAATTTCTCTTTAAATGAAGCAATCCACCTAGGAGGTGACTAGGAAAATCAAGCTAGCCACATAGGCTAATTTGCTTCTTAATTCAACAGAGGGACTATTTGCAAGAGAGTTTTTACAGGGATGATTAAAAAATATTTTGGAGGGATGAAAAACAGATTTTGTTTATTTTAGAGGGGCTGAAAACATACCTAACCCTTGCGTCCGTATTCAATCAGTATGATTGCTTAATTATCATTTTAAAAAAAAACTTACATGCTCAAAGAAGCTCCAATTTCTCTCACATCCAAGTGCACTACATGTTAAGCTCAAAATTTTTATAGCAAATTTTTGCAAGAATGGTACACTTCCACCATAAGCTCTCCACCACTCCACTATCAATTTAAGTAATGAATTTGAATTATAAAGTGTTATACAATGTAACCAATGTAATTTGTGGCGAATAATTAGAGGAATTTTACCTGCTGGTTTTGAAGTTCGTTGCCTCTTCGCAATATTATATCCCATTATACCTTCTGCTTTCCGGTACGATATGAGCTCGTTTGTGATGTTGTCTTGTATTTTCGTGTCTGGAATTAATTTTTCCAACACCTTATAGAATCCTTCTACGACCTCTTCGTTGGATTCAATATTTGGATCAGAGTAAAAGTACTCCGGGTTCAAATAATGGCCCGCAGCGTGCAATGGTTGATGAAGTTGAACTCCCCACCTCTCATCGATGATGTCAAAGAATCGGCTATATTTCTCATGTTGGTATCCAAAATTCTTTGCTATTGCCCCCTTTGCTCTATCCATTGCCTTATATATATACCCCATTGCAGGTTTGGTTTCCCCATCGATTAGTCGAAGAACTTCGATCAGAGGAGTAGCGATCTTTAAGGATTTACGCATTCCTCTCCAAAATGACTCTGATAGGATAGTGTTACATGCTAGAACACCTTTTTGTTCCTTCGCCCACTTGCTTTTTGCCCAAGCATCTGAAACAAACAAAGTTCTTAACTCTACCCTCAATATAAAAATCCTTTCCAGAGTAAGGGCAACGGTGGCAAAACGAGTCACTCCGGGTCTAACCAAATCTAATTTAGTAAACTTCCGCAACAAGTTCACTAAACCTGGACGAGTGTAGATATAACGGCTCAACTTAACAACCTTTTTGTATGTTAAGTGGATATCTTTCTCTTGAAATATATCCTCCAAAATCAAGTCCAAACAATGAGTTGCACAAGGTGTCCAATATAGGTGAGGATACTTCGCCATTAAAAGGTCTCCTGCATATTAAATGATTGGAAATGAATAAGTTCATACTATATAAAAATAAAAAGTGAAAAGTTTTTCCATTAAATTATTGTTACCTGCAAGCTTCATGTTTGAGCCATTGTCTGTGACTACTTGTACTACATTTACCAGACCAACTGTTTCAACAAACTCACTTAGTAACTCAGAGATCAGTTCCCCTTTTTTTGAATGCTCAGAAGCATCAACCGACTTCACAAAAATGCTTCCCTTAGGGCAATTAACTAAAAAATTAACCAGAGTTTTCTCTCCGTTGTCTTTCCATCCAGCGGACATAATAGAACAACCATTCTTTTCCCATTCTTCTCTATGATCTTCCATTTCTTTTTTCACAACTTCAACCTCTTTCGTCAACAAAGGACCTCTAACTTCATGAAGTGATGGAGCTCTCATTCCTGGTCCATGTTTTCCGATAGCGTCAATCATATCTTGAAAGCTTTCATAAGTAACGGCATTAAAAGGGATACCGGCATCATACATCCATCGTGCTATTGCAGAACATGCTTGACTCCTCAGCTCTTTCAATGCATCATTATTCATTCTTTTTTGTTCTATCATACCATTTGCCGTGGGCTGACAACCATGACTTACAAACATACCCATTGGCCCCCTTTTGTTAATCTCTGGAAATGCCAGTGCAGCCCCCTCATCATCTTCATCACCAAAGGTCATCAATGTTTCATCATGGAACCGTTGCGGTTGAATTCTTTTCTCCATCACAATTTGCTCCCTAACTCTCTTTTTCGAATTCATATAATTCCGTATCTCCTCCTTCACTTCGCTTGTCACTTTTTCACAAGCCCTGACTGCTGTGAAACCCCCGACTACATGTTGCTTTGCTCTATGAATTCCCCCGCTGTACGTTTGGTCACAAAAAATACATGTTGTGTTGTTTGTGATTTTCGGATCTTTCAACCGAACGTATTTCCAACACGGATCTTTTTTGTTATCAGCGGTATTGGTAGCCATCTCTGTGATGAGACCACAAGGAGGGAGGAGACGAGCCATACGACTATCATGTAACATCTCTCTATCATTCAATCCATCTGTTCAGCTAATTCCAGTTAATGTTTCTAAAATCTGGATACGAGTGTTCATTTGAAGTGTGTTGGTAATGTCTTTTTTCTATAACATAAGGAAAAGTTTGGAAAAATGGGCATTTTCTTAAACTTTCATACATTTTTGTTCTTTGATTCATACAATCATTGGTTAACATCAGAAGAAATGCAAAATGGAGTCTGAAAATATTCATATTGATAATTCTTACAATTTCCATCAATACAAATGAAACATTTCTTGTTGTTTTTTTCATTCACTTTTTCCCATAGAACTTAATTGGAAAAAAACTGAATACCACAAAAACAACAGTCACAGTCAATAAGGACAGAGGGGAGTACCTCCGGCATCTGCTTTGTTAAAACCCAATTCCTCTTCTGTATAAACGGCGAACCCATCGACGGTCTTCTTCCTTGCCCTTGACCCGGACGCCGACCCGTTTTCTTTGCGGACATTGGTGTCCTTTTCCTTCGCCGTAGCCTTTTTCGGCATCGATTGCGCGTCACCCGCATCTGAAGCTTTTTCCGGCTTATTTCTCTTCTTTCCGGGGGAGAATTCGTCAATTTCGCTGCCGGATTTCAGCTTTTCCGATGGGGATGAGAACGAGCTCTGTGTCTTCGCCGTCTCTGCCGCAGGTTTCACCGCAGATTTGGACTTCTTAGATTTGCTCTTCTTCCGCATTTCCCGGCTAATACTCCGTGAAGATGAAGCTTGCTGCGTTGCTCCAGTGGAGTCTTGGTGCTGGAGAACGACTATGTTCTTTGAATTTTCCCAAACCCTTGTAAAGAACAACTAAAACTGGAGAACTGGTAAGAGGAAGAAATTGGAAAAATTAAAAAAAAATAAATAAACTAAAAAAATTATTAAAAATTAGAAAATCTAACAAAATTTTGAATTTTTTTTGTTTATTTTTATGTTATTCTCATTCTAATTCTTGTTGTTATAAATTATTAGTATTGTTATTACTCCGGAGTATTATTTTTATTAGTGTCATTGTTGTTATTGTTATCACGTTATCTTAATCAATGTCTTTAAGATAATAAAAATGTCGTTATTTTTTAAAAAAATTACTTTTGCAAAGAAAATTAAAATATAAAATTAGCATAAATATCAAAATGTTAAATATTTAAAAGTTATTATGGCTACGTTGCACGTTACTTTATTTATGTAATACTTATCATAAAATAATATATTTGTAATTATCGTTTATATATTACAAGATTTTATTTTAAATATCATGACACATAATGTAATCAAATATATTTTTTCTTTAATGATTTAGTTTTTTCATTGTAACCATACTTTTAGAATAAAGACATAAAGCTTTTTTTTACATTTTTTTATGTTTTACTTCTACTGAGGCGGCAAAGAACGAAGGATAAGCCCAAGGTGATGTTGTTTGATGAACAAACTAAAGATGCAATGGAGCTGTTTAAAGATGAAAGAACAGTTAATATTCTAGAATGCAGTTAAGCTTAATTGAAGATACTAAATACAGAGTATTGTTTTTACAATATGATTATGTTAAAAAGATTGGATTATTTATATTCACATGCGCAATATTTTGCATATTAGAGACAATAAAAAGTAGACCCAATAAATGAAAGTATAACTTTTTTGTTAATTGTATTTTAATTATTGGTGATATTATTTGTTATTTGAATTTGTTGTTTACACTTTGGAGATTGTTTTTCTGATATAGTTCTCTTTTGATTTTCATAATATAGTATTCTCCACCCCAGTCCATTATTACATTTTAGATTAAAATATTGATGCTTTCTTTATATAAATTTAGATTAGAAAAAACATTTATGTAACTATATTATCTATAGTTTTTTTAAATAATTTAAAATATTGATGTTTTCATATTCTATCTTGTAGATTAGTATACAAAAAATGGTACTCCCTTCGTTTCTTAAAACTCTTCCTCTTTCAATTTTTTTGTTTTTTTAACTCATTTTTTTTGTTTTTTTAAAACACTTCCTTTTTCTATTAAAAAACCACTTTTACCCCTACTTTTTTCATACCGTACCTACATCATACTTTTTCACTAATAACCAAACCATCATATCTTACTTTTACCCATCACATCAAGGGTAAAATTGGAAAGTCAACTAAAATTACACTTTCTATATTTTTTTCCAACGTCAAAAGAGGAACCGTTTTGAGAAACGGAGGGAGTATTATTTATATTAAGAAGTTGCAGAAAAAATAATAATTAATGTGAATCATAAAAATAATAAGATAAAAAATGAAATATTTTATAAACTATAATTCTGAACATAACATTATTTTTTTCATTAAAATACAATATATATTTTATTTAATTATAAGTCAAAGGTTCAAAACAGTTGACCGAAAAAAGTCAAAATTGGACAAATACTCAGGAATGGAGATAGTGCTATTACTGGGCATTTCATCTGATGTCCCATGATTCCGTTAACACGTCAATAAACAAGTAGTGGCATTGGAGGTACTCCGTAACGGAACTCGTCGCCGTTCAAACCCGGACGCCCAGAGCCGTCCGATCACAATCGAACGGCCAGGCTTCTGAACGCGAACGGGAGAAGTCTAATTTTCGCTAATTCACTGCGTATATATAACACGAGAAGCTGTGGAAGAAGGAGAAGCTGTTTCTTCTTCTTCTTTTTCCATCGTCTCTCTCCCTTCTCATCTCACATCCCTGCAAAAACACACAAAAAAAAATTCTTAACGAGAGGAGAAAATTTCGAGGTAATTTTTGGTGAGTGATTATCTTGTTTCGTTTTGATTCGATGTCTAGAAACTGGAACAATGTTTCGTTTTGATTCAATTACAGAAGATCATCTCGGGAATTCTGCAGTTGAATGCCTGGTTTGGTATCTTTTGATTCAAAGTTCGCTGAGAATGAATCCGATTTGGTTTTTGTTTTCGATGAACAGGTGCAACTTGAAGAGAGATTTCAGCTGGTATTGAAGGATTTACTCGTGAATTGAGTTTCTCACTAAGGCCTGGAATTTGATCTGTGGATTGATTTTTTGTTTCGATTCCGTTTGTGTGCGTTTCTGTTCCACCGGCGCATTCGGATGAATCCAGATGTGATTTTCAAGTCCATCTGAAGTTCTAGATCAGATTCCGATGAGAAGATCGGAAATTCCGGAGAAGCTTTGAGCACTGGAGTTCGGTGACGGTGATGGCTCCATTCTACTGAAAACGGAGTCCGGAAAGTGAAGAAATCGGAAATCTGTTTGCTGATTGTTCTTTGATGATATAGGTATGAACTGCAGTTCCTTTTCAAGAGAGATTGATTTCGCTTCAATTTCCTCTGCAATTTTCACTTTTTAAGACGATCTGAAACGTGTTTTTTTGTATGGATTTGCAGACTGAGGAACATATCTCTGGGAATTTTTGTGAACATTCCGATTTGGAATCGGGTAAGAGCGTAAATTTACCCGGCTTCTCTGAAGAGCTGAAAGTTTCAGGTACCGATAATCCTCCGGATTTGAGATGTTTGAGTTTTCACATCTTCGATCTTCTTCTTTTCTGTCGTTTTCATCATCATCTTCTTCTTCTTTTCCTTCTCATTTTTTCAAATTATTTTTCTAGAAAATTAACAGAAAATCCAAACGAAATTCCAATGCTTTGAAGTTCTTCCAAATTCCGACTTGGATCTTTACACGAGTCGCGACAAAGAAATGAAATGAAGAACTCAGAGTCTCCGCCTAAAAAAAGGCCTTTAGTTTTTGTCCTTCTGTACCTCTCACAATCTTCATGTTTTTCAACCGTCTTCTCTCACAGAATTCACAATTTCCAAAAGAAAATTTTCATTTCTGCTGTCACTAATCGTCAATTTCTACATCTCATTGGCATTCAATTGTTTTTACCCTCTTTTCGTCCAAAATCTTCTGAGAATTTTACCCTTTATTCACCAAACCTTTTTTTCAGAAAAAAAACAGGGAAAAGTGTGCTGAATTTGATTTGAGAATTTAATAGTAACCCCGAGTAATTCATTTTTTACCGTGGTTGTTTGTCATGCGGTAAAAAAAATCTTAACTTCCGGTAAAATTATTCTGGTATGAAGGCGGCAGATGGAGAAGAATTGCAGAGAAGGATTGCTACTGAGATCAACGACGCTTCATCATCATCATCATAAACGGAGTGAAGCCAGGTCAGCGGGTAATACGACGTCGCATGATTTCGTTTTGCAGTGGGGGAGCCGGAAGAGGCTACGGTGCGTGAAGGTGCACCACAAGAACCCTGGCTTCGCGCGTGCGGATCACGACGAAAACAGTGAACCGTCCGGTTCGTCGCCGGCACGAATAGCGACCGGTCGACCTGATCGCCGCGTTTGTAGATCCGACCCGAATAAGGACTCTTCGCACCTTCTGCAGCACGGCGGTAACCGCTATTTGAACCTCCGTCAACGGCAGGCGTCTCCCGGACTTCGTAATCTCAGGTACATATCCCATAATTTTATATTGGAAAATGATACTCTCTTCGGCTCATGATACTTTCTTACTCCGTATATGATTTACGGTATTATTTTACTCGTATTTTTTTATAAAAGTAGGGTATAGTAAACTACTCGTAGTAAAGAAATATAATACTCCCTCTCCTTTTTGAATCAATCTATTTTGACTTTTAAGTTAACCTTTTAGAACTTTGACTACAAGTTATTAAAAAAATGAGCCCGGTTCCAGGGATGCTCCGATGTCCCATAAAATTGACGATTCTTACCCCCTTGACCCTCCCGGTAAACCCCTCACCCTGCCCCGACCCGAACACGCCCCCCACCCCGTTCAATTGCACCCCCAAGTTGACTTAAAAGTCAAAATTGACGATTCTTACTCCCCTAACATAGTTTTAAAAATTACTTCGTACATTTTTATAATATCGATTGATAGACAAAGGATAAAGCTATTGATGATTATATTGAAAATCGTGAAAAGTCAAATGAAAATTCAAAAGGGACGAAGAGTACCGAATATATATTGACAAAGATCTCGTGGTCAAGTGAGGACTCTTGGGCCTGTCCAAACTTATGTCACCACTCCCCTAAATTCCAATACTCCATCCACTGCCGGTAGCAGTTGGCAAATGCAAGAAGTGAATGTCAAGAGGTAAGATTCAAGTTGGATTTCTGGTAACTACTTTAGGACGCAACTATACTGAGCATAGATTCTTTACTAGAACTAGGTGCAGACTCTACTTTTTGCTTACAATTTACGATCAAAATCTAATTTACCTTCTCTCAGCCGCTCGAGTGTGAGGGGGCCCTCGGGATGGAGCTCATGCTTTTTCTAATACTCCCTCCACTACTTGACCATTTGAGGCAATCTTTCTAACGACCAGATTAAGATTATATCATAATCTATCTCTCTCACTATTCTGTCGGGCTAGTGTGGGGCGCCCAGGGTGGTGTTCCACCTTTTCTAATACTCCCTCCACCACTTGACCACTCTTACAAAAATAAACTATTTGTTCAGTCAATTAAAAATCTTTGTGGCAAAAATTAAAAAATCTTTCTCGGGCCAGAGATAGGTTTTAGTTTTTGGCATTTTCCAATTAAAGATCTACTCAGTATTTAAAAATTAAAACCACAACGCCAATTATAATCATGGTTCACAACTAGAGTAAATATCAATCACCGTTTGTTTTCTTTTTTGTGTGTTTTTTGAACAATGTCAAAGTTTTCTTTCTCAAGTATTAGTTGTGTCATCTTATATACGAGTAATTTTTATTTTGTTACGCTTGTCTATATAAGTTTCTTTTTCATTAAATTCGAATAAAATAAAATTTTTGTGGTTGAGATTATCATATGAATAAGAGTAGAAGAATGATACTGAGTATAAATTACTCAATTTTTACTACGGAGTACTAGATAAGAAAAAAGAGAGTAAAAATCAAGAAAGTTTAATTGCAGGAAAAAATTTAGAGTTTATATAACTGTAATTTTTCATTACTATATCTAGTTTTTCTTTCTTACACATCAATTAGACAATTACAAACTACTATGTAAATGCGAAGTATTTTGGGACATATTCTGGGTCAATTCCCAGACCAACTGAGCAAATCCGGGGTATGTATACCTCATATGCTATAACTCTCGTAATTTATTTTTTTTTGAGTAACTCTATGGTTGGTCCTATTAAAAAAGCAAATACACTCAATTTACTCCCCCCTTAAAAATATATTTACATTGTATTGTTATAATCACACCAAATTTGACATTATACTCCTTCCGTCCTAGAGTATTTGTCTACTTTCATTTTTACACACCATCTAATGCACTTCTTTAATCCATTTTATCTTGTAATTTGTATATTAAAAAATTATAGAAATTATATATTAATAATCTATATGTTAAGACAAATCAAACAAGATCACACATGACTATATTTAGGCTTACACATTGAGAGAATTTGATGAGTCAAAGTGCTTAGATGAACAGTTCCAAAAGTCAAAAGTGGACAAAGACAGTGGGACGGAGGGAGTATGTTTCAAGCTATGCACATATAATTAGTATCTGAGCCAATTATTTGTGCGTCTTTGTAAAACACATGTGTCAAACTTTAGTGTACACCAACAGGTGTGCANAAAATATATTTACATTGTATTGTTATAATCACACCAAATTTGACATTATACTCCTTCCGTCCTAGAGTATTTGTCTACTTTCATTTTTACACACCATCTAATGCACTTCTTTAATCCATTTTATCTTGTAATTTGTATATTAAAAAATTATAGAAATTATATATTAATAATCTATATGTTAAGACAAATCAAACAAGATCACACATGACTATATTTAGGCTTACACATTGAGAGAATTTGATGAGTCAAAGTGCTTAGATGAACAGTTCCAAAAGTCAAAAGTGGACAAAGACAGTGGGACGGAGGGAGTATGTTTCAAGCTATGCACATATAATTAGTATCTGAGCCAATTATTTGTGCGTCTTTGTAAAACACATGTGTCAAACTTTAGTGTACACCAACAGGTGTGCATTAGTCTAAGCCCTTGTGCATTAGTCTTAGCCCAAAACCAACAGGTATTAATGTCTTGAGCACTAGGGTGCAAAAGGGCATTGTGGCCGGGTTTCACTATATATATATATATATATATATATATATATATATATATATATATATATATATATATATATATTCCTAAAGATTTGGTCATGGTCAAAATGAAGGGAGAAGAGTACAAAGAGATGGAAGATTTTGTCAGGGTTGTCCTAGTATTAACTATCAAGTGTTCTTGTGGCTATGGCTGGTTATAGGCTATGGGTCTGTGTTGTGACCAAGTAGCAGCATCCATGGGGTTGTCACTTCTCATTTTGTTCATTGTTTATTTTTACTACGAAGCATATGTCCAATTTGATATCGGCTTATTTTTTTATAAACGGGACAAACTTTGGTCAGCTATCAAATAAACATTGTATATAATCCCTTTGGCCTATATTTTTTTCCACCTTTTCTGCCCGTCATATATCTTTCTTCTCATTATTTAAAATAACTTCTTTCTATATTACTCCGTAAATGACATTAATACCCTCCATCATCTATCATCACCCACACATTATTTGCTTTGCATTCCACTCTCCTTGACCTGAGATCTAAGAATTTGAATCGAGTGGAAGAACTCTCTTTCTTAGGTCACTATGAAGTATGAACTGAGTAGAGATCTTTGGAAATGTTTAGATCATGGGTTGGGAAATTCGATCTTTTTTTAATTTGCTTCTCTAAGTCTTGGCTAGGAGACGTAGGAGCATGTCTAGTACTGGAGTAAGAGACTTCTATGGCTTTATATATTTGAGTATGAAGAAGAATGAAAGATCATTCCTAGGGTTCCTTTGGCACCGCGTGGCATTTAAATGAGAGAAGTCAAGTTGGATTATAATTTGTGTAATAGTTACATGGTAAAGCGGCCTAGAGTCACACAAAAACATTAATCCTTTTGTACCCCCTTCTTTGCCCGCGGTAAATGGCTTACATAAAAAGGGATGAACTTCATTCTAAGACCCCCCACAGGACACTGATAAATGAAGCTCTAATGTCAAAAGTGAGCAATAGGGAATGAGCTTTGAGATCTGCCCTTAATCCCGACAAAGAGTTTTATGCAAAACATCAAATATCTCACACTGGCTTCGTTGGAAGTCAAATCCGGCCATGATGCCTTTTTGCATTTCTTATTGACCACTTGATTTGTATCCTTGCACAAAAGTTTGAAAGATAAACTTTGTATCCTTACACTTAAGCTTGAAAGATAAAATTTCAATACAAGTTGGCCCCAACCCACTGTTGTAAATGGGTTGCATAGCTTATATATGTATGAAGAAGATTGAAAGATCATCCCAAAGGTTCTTTTGGCACCGCCTAATATTTACTCCCTCCGTCCTAAAATTTTCTTCCCAAAGCACTATTTCAACTTCACGAGAATTTATATTTATTTGTGTTTTTTCATGGCCTATATGATAAAATAAAATATTCTTGTCACCACTTGTTTTGTTGAACTTTTGATGTAGTTTTTAAATATGTATGTTTTATTTTTTATTTCTATACCAATATTTAAATAAAATAGATTGAAAAAACTTGGAATTTTTCTTCGTTTTGCGCAACGGGAAGAAAGTTTTAGGACAGAGGGAGTAAATGAGAGAAATTATGTTGAATTATAATTTTGGTGTAACAGTAAGATGGTAGAGCCTATATACTGAANTATGTATGAAGAAGATTGAAAGATCATCCCAAAGGTTCTTTTGGCACCGCCTAATATTTACTCCCTCCGTCCTAAAATTTTCTTCCCAAAGCACTATTTCAACTTCACGAGAATTTATATTTATTTGTGTTTTTTCATGGCCTATATGATAAAATAAAATATTCTTGTCACCACTTGTTTTGTTGAACTTTTGATGTAGTTTTTAAATATGTATGTTTTATTTTTTATTTCTATACCAATATTTAAATAAAATAGATTGAAAAAACTTGGAATTTTTCTTCGTTTTGCGCAACGGGAAGAAAGTTTTAGGACAGAGGGAGTAAATGAGAGAAATTATGTTGAATTATAATTTTGGTGTAACAGTAAGATGGTAGAGCCTATATACTGAAAACGTAATTGTCCATGGTTGTCATTGTTAGAGTCACACACAAACATGATTCCTTTTCTACCCCCTTCTTGGTAAATGAAGCTCTAATGTCAAAAGTGAGCAATAGGGAATGAGCTTTGAGATCTGCCCTTAATCCCGACAAAGAATTTTATGTAAAACATCAAATATCTCACACTGCCTTTGCTGGAAGTCAAATCCGGCCGCACCACCTTTTTGCACTTCTTAATGACCACTTCATTTTTGTTCTTGCACAAAATTTTGGAATATAAACTTTTCATACTTGTTGCCCGCACTCATTGTTGTAAACGGGTTGCATAGCTATATTGGATTTCGAGTGTTCGGTTTAGTCGTTGCTTAACAATTAAATGTTCGGTCAAGTCGTTGCTTAAGAATAATAAATAGCCGTATTTGATTTAGAATACTTTTTACATATATAAACAAATTCTAATCATAAACGGAGTATATATTTTATTTTTAGCCACTTTTCATAAATATTGTGAAATTCTAACTATAAAGGGTGTACACAATTAAAAAAATATGTCCCACACTTTAATTAATTAAACAAACAAAGAATGAGTTGAATCTCATTCCTTCAAAAAAAAGATTTGAATCCGGACATTATGCTTTTTTGTACCCACTTGGCAATGAAGAAGCCTCTTTAATTAATTTAAAAAGAAAAATGTTAGGGGTACACCAAATGTGTACCCCATTTGTCCCCCACCCCCTCTTTGTCTACCAAAAAGGCAAGAAATTCAAAAAATAAAAAAAAAAATAAAATAAAAATAGGTGATGAAGAAGTGGGTGGTGTACATTTGGAGTACACCTTTAGTGTGCTCTTAACATTGCGCAAGGATTTATGCAGTAGGTGGTGGGATGGAGTCGTATTGCACAGGTTGTATTTACAATCACTTTTCGGAGTAAATTGTCACATCCATGTCGGAAACCCCCCTTGTGGGGCCGGACCCATCTCTTCTTTTTCCCTATGTTAATCGCACGCACACTCCGCATCTCTTGGCACGTACACCCCCCGAGAACCTGAATCCAACGGCCCCCCCTTCTTTGGGACCCCCCCTCTCTCATTTTATTATCATTACTCCGTATTTCCCTTTTTTTCTTCCTCGGAGATATTCAGATCTCAAACATTCACCTTTCCCGATCGTCGCCGCAATCTCCTCCCTCACCTCCATTTATTCCCCTCCCATTTTCACACCTCTCCTGTTTTTTTCCATCACCGATCCATTAGGGCGTATTCTGTAATTTCCATCCTATGCTTCAACCTCAGTAATTTTATTTGAGTAAATTCTATCTGAATTAATTTCTTCTATAAACAGTCCTTTATCTAATACAATTTCCCACATATAATTCCAAAAACATTCTGTTTTCCAGTTCTCTATTTTTCATAACTATTTCATGATTAATTCTTGTTGATTACAAGTAGAAAAAAGTTATTTTGAGTTTTCAACATAACTGATCCTGAGTTACTTTTTATATATAGAGCACGACAAAATTTACTCTTATTTTACCCTTCTATAGTAGTGACATAGCCAAACCCCCACGTCCTAAATGACTAAATCCACTTTACTGATTTAAATTTGTTAAACTCACTCTTGCTCTTATAAATTTGAGATTTGTGTGCTTTTCTCTCTACTCTTACATTATTAGTGCTGGTGATTTGTTTGCATGTTCTTTTGTATTTGGACCAGGTTCTTTTATAAACAGTTTCTTTGTTCCCAAGTAAAGATAAGGTTTGGTCCTACTTTTTGTGGAATTTTACTAGGTTTATTGTTGTGGTGTTTGTGATCTAAGGTGTGAATTTAGCAAATGAAAATAAAAAGTGGATTTAGTTAAGGTGTGGTATTAGTCTCACCCTTCTATTAATTTAATTATTATGGAGTAAGATTATAAGCATTTAAATTTTTTTTATTGTTTGATCTGAGGATGGAGTGTTTTGGTGTGTTAGGAATTGTGAGACTTCAATTCCTGCAATGAGAGAAAGGAGCAACGGGTTGAGGAATTTGGCTTCTTCCCCTGCCGATCATAAGAAAAGTGGTGGCGTACATAACAATGTTAGGTCCAGCCACAACGGCGATAACCACCACCACCGCCACGGCGGTGGTGGGTCGGTGTCGTCGGAGACAGCCCAGGAGAGCAAGAGAGGTGGTGGTTCTTCCTCCGGAAGCGATGTGGTTCCAGGTGTGTGGCCGCCTAAGTTTGTGATCGCCCTCACGAATAAGGAGAAGGAAGAGGACTTCATGGCGATCAAAGGATCCAAACTCCCTCAGCGCCCCAAAAAACGTGCCAAGTTTGTCCAGCGTACCCTCAATGTAAGTTCCTATTTACACGGTTCTGCATATCCTTTGTGGGTTTATAAAGGTGAAATTTGCACTGAATAGGACTAAAACATAAGTCATTTTCCAATGTAGGACTTAAACTTTTTTATTCCCTAAATAGGACTTAATAATGATTAGTGAGAAGAATAATGTCCAAGTGATGGTGGACATTTAGTTGAATAATGACTAATAGATAATGACCAATGGTCCTACTTTGGGAAATAAAAACATATGGTCTTATATTGAGAAAGTCATTATGTTTTAGTTCTATTTATGTAAATTACCCTAAATTAATTTGCTTCAATCTATAATGCTCACTTTGATTGGCCACATAGACTAATACTCCGGTAAATGTGATCTGTGTTGTTGAGATTTATGAAACTGGAAATGAATGAGATGAAATGGGATGGGCAAAAGGAGTGCCAAATTGTATTCCCTTATTATATGATGTGACATAACATAATTGATCTAGGTTAGTGTGGGTGGTCAAGAAATAATTTAGGTCAAGAAAATAAGTTGACCAACATCATTAAAATTGCAACCGTACCAATGATCATAGCTCAAATGGTCAATATGGGGTGCGATAGGGCCGAGTCTGACTTTTGGCTAAGGGAGTGTAGGACCTTTATGCTTACCAAAATAAGGTCTTTGAGACATATCTCATTTCCTATTGGCCAGTTGAGATTAGAGGTAACATTTTCGGGCTGGGGGGACCCTAGGATGGGGTTAATCCTTTTGCAATCATACCGAAGCATACATAACGGGTTTTTAATCCTGTTGCCGTAGTTATTGTGAAATGGGAAGATTATATAGATACGAAAGGAGTAGAATATTATTTTATTGCACTTGGTAATGTTTCTAATTTTCTGTATATATATTTGACATTGCAGTTGATTAGTCCTGGAGCGTGGCTTTGTGATCTTTCCCTCGAACGGTATGAAGTAAGGGAGAAAAAGGTCTCAAAGAAGGTACTCTTTGGAAACAGCATTTGTTATATGCTCCTTAGAAATTGCTGCAATTATTATTATTGCTGTTATTATTATTATTAATGGGATTTCCTTTTAAAGATTTATTTACTCATGTAAATACAACTATGGTCAGAGACCAAGAGGGTTGAAGGCAATGGGCAGCATGGAGTCTGATTCAGAGTGAGAGAAAACAAAGCAATTTGAAAAAGAGGGAATGGGAAAAGGGTAAAAGCTTTATGTACTTATTTTGTATTTCAGGGGTTTTCAGCTCCAGAAATAATGAAATTTGTAAAAAAATCATATGGTTATGGTATACTACTCCATTTCCTCTTCTTTTTCTTCTTTTTGAAAGTAGATATGAAAACCAGCTCAGTATATAAAAGTTCCTCACTTTTGTTCTCTTTGGAGTTACATAGTCAAGAAGAAGCCAATAAAGTTCATATGAAAGCAATTACCCCCCAACTCCTAGGGCTGTAAACGGATAACCGAAAATCCGATTACCGTACGCATCTGTATTCGTTTAAAGAGGAAATATCCGCATCCGTTTTAAACGAAGATTATCCGTATCCAATTAAGGATATCCAATTACTAAACGGATACGGATTTGGTAATTGTATGTTCGATCTGTTTAAAATCCGATTCGAATATGCATCCGTTTATCCAAATATCTGATATGTTATATATAGTTTTTCCTATTTTTTATGTTTATATTTCGTTTCTCTATTGATATTTCAGAGTATCAGAAATTTTTATATACAAAATAAATATGTAGACACATGAAAATATGTGCAGACATATAAAAATATGTGTATATGTGTGCCGTGTATATCTTTTTATCATATGAAGTTATCGTAAAATATCATAAATCATGAAAACAAAGAATATAATTATTCCATAACAAATTATAGTTGATTTAATAATAGTTTGACTTTAATATAATTTAAAGTTAAAGTATTGTCTAATTTAATTTTAAAAATTAGAAACGGATACGGATATATCCGATATCCGACGGATGCAGATACGGTTTTGATTTTCAGTATCCGTCAAGATCCGTATCCGAATTAGATATTCCACAAAAATAAACGAATACGGATTTGGTAATGGCACATCCGATCCGATTAATATCCGTTTACGCCACCACCAACTCCCCAAGGCCATGATAAAGAAAGTTATAGTTTGACTTTACCGAGTTTCACAAATTTGTTGAAAATTGAAATGTTGATAAAACGAGTAGAATTTATTTAGAAGAGAAATAGAAAAGACCATGCAATAATGTCACATGAAAAAAGAGAAATATACCGATTCCAGCCGATAAATGTTTATATTAATCTTTGATTAAGCAAAATAGGCATTTAGCAATTACTCCGGAGTTTTTTACACTATGTTTGGTTTAAAAATTTGAAAGAAAAAAAAAAAAAATAACACTTTATAAAATACCCACTTCGTCCCAGCGTACTTGTCCAGTGAGACTTTAAACTTCAATTAAATAAAAACTAAATGTATTTTAATATAAAATAACTTTATTAGATTTATCATATTGAAAATTTTTAAAATTATACGGAGTATTTCATTATACTTACATGGAATACAAATTGTGAGTAATTAGAGTTCAAAGTTTGTCCAATTTGACTCGAAAAAATTAAACTGGATAAATACATTGAGACGAAAGTACTATATCTATGTAAAAATGTTAATATTATTTGTCAAAATATTATGTTGGAATATATAAAAAGTTAAATGAGAATCAAATTCAAACATACCCTAACAAAAGAATAAGCAAATATAATGAGGATTTTTTTTTCCTTTCAAGGACAAATATAAAATGTCATCACCAATCTTGAAATATGAATATCAGTTCTTAAAATTGTGCATATAAAGAATGAATCTCCATATATAACATTGCAAATTGGTGCACAAGACACGACTAGCAAAAATCATCCTAATTTTTTTAAAAAAAAAGTCTAACACGAATATAATTGAAAGTTATATTCAGATCTCTCTGTTGCATCAGAACCCCAAATATTTTGGAGCTAAAATGAAGAGAGGTTCCAATGCACTGGGAGCGAATTTCCTCGCGAAAAGAAAGCAAACGGAGAAATTTCGCCCGTTGTACACGCACCTATGGCCTTCGAGCATTCTCTTCACGAATGCCTCGGTGATATCGGACCTCTCGAAAGTGGCGGGGTGGGCCCCACCCCGCGACCAGTCGACCCACGTGAGGCTTCGGTTGGCCAACCGGTTCGCCGCTTTGATAGCGAGCATGGTCGGGAAGTAATGCTCGTCCACGTAACATGGCGGGGTGCAGAAGTCCGAAAACTTTGGGTAGAAAGTGACGTCCTCTACTATATAGAGGGCGAGGTTTCGGTCGATCTCAAACCATTGGGAGCCTTTCCTCCACTGGGAGATATTCACCTCGGGCAACATGTTCGGGTCATATCGGGCACGCCCGTACGGGCCCGGGTCATCAAATGACCCGATGAAGCTGTGTTTTGATCTCTTTATGTGGGTATAAATGAGGGTGAAGTTTCGGAGCGGAATGCATGATTCAGATAGGAGAATGAACCATTCGTTTGCGATATCGAGTAGCGCGTTCGCGAGAAGTCTTCTCTCGGCATCACATATGCTCATCTTTCCTCATTCTGCCACCTGCAAAAAGGATCAAAGACTCTAGTTATTATAATCAAGGCGAAAAGAACAAGGCTTAAGACGGTTGGCATTGAAATTAGTATTTCCAAAGACTTGTGAAGGTATACTCGCAAAAACCATACAAAAGTTCAGCCACAAGCTTAAACTTTTGGTTGAGTTGGATATTCGACCTTCAAAGCCTAGATGACCTCGATATCAACAACAACAACAACAACAACAAATCGAGTAAAGTCCCACAAAGGAAGGGCGCATGTAGGTAAACCTTACCCCCTACTTGGAATAAGGGTCTATCAATGCTAGAAGATCACCAAGTTGGTTGGTTTCTAAGTATACACTAAAAGGACTTAAAATGTATTATCAAGTTTCTAAAATGTGCTTCAACAAGTTAGAGATGATATTACAATAAGGATTCTTTCAGAGTCTGTTTTATCTTTTCACTAAAGAAACACAACAAGCAGTACTTATGATTCACATGGAAGATCGTAGGCAAAAATGTGTGGCAATTATATAAGAATTACCACAATATTATATAAATGTAAATAAATAGACAAAAACACAGAGAAACAAAAAGAATTACCTGACTGGGTATCTGTCTCTCGTAGAAAACCGATTTGGGTGGGAACTGGGCTTTAAAGGATGGAGAAGAATGCACGTAAACCGAGGACTTCCCCTCGTTTCCCTTAAAGAACCTTTCCCAAAGGGGAGCTAATGGCAATGGCCCTTTAGTCAAGAACATAAAGGCAATTTTGGGTACCCTCTTGAAGGGATACTCTTTTACCCTCGGCATCAACGACGCCCTCCAAAACAGCTCTTTATCTGTCATTGTGTGCATCAAGTTGGATGGAGGCTTGCCAAATCATTAGGCTCTTTTTTGAGCTCTTCTTTGACGACACACGATGAAACTAAACTAGGCTTCAAAGGTTCATACACTATACCATAATGCTTGACCATATAAACACTAACCACAGAAAAAGATAAACAAAGAACCAAGAACAGCACCAGTAACTGCACCAGCCTATGTGGCAAACCCCTAAAATGCCCTCCGCGGCTTATAGAAGAAGAAGATGATGGATCTTTGGCTTCTTCCATCAGTACCCCCAGAATTCAAATGAATCTGCTTAGAAATCAAAACCCCAGAAAAATATAATTTATGGGTTTTCAATTTTCAAGCATATATATGTTAAAGATTCACTCTGGGAAATTCATCTTTTCTGTCATTGACCAAATAAACGCCCAAATACCACACCACCCAAATCAAAAGATCGATCAAAGATCAAATCTTTACCAACGCTGGAAACTATCAAAGTCCAAAACTTTGCTAAATGCCGGAATTGCCCTCCAGAAACGAACTTTTACTATGTGAAGCTGATCTGCAAAGCAGAGTTGTGCACTCCGAGAAGACCCATATATGAGTCCCTGCAATATACTCATAAAAGAGTTGGGTTACTATAAATAAACGAGCGATGATTTTGTTGAAGGACTCAAATGCAGAGTATATATGCACTGTGGAAAACTGATACAGTAATAATTAATCTAAAACAGGAAAGAATTTTCTGGGATTTCTTGATGAGAAATGCGCAATCCAAATCTAAACCGCAACTGTGGATTCGAGTAAAGATAGAAGTGAGAAAATAAAGAAAACCCAATGAGGGGCCCAGAGGTTCTTCATCGAAAGGGGTCCCACTCAGCTCGAGCGAGGGGGTTAAGGTGAGGTGGACATGGTCAATGTTCAGCAAAAGCAAAGGAAGCAAATTCGTAAGAGTAGCTTTTTTTTTGGAAAATACGTAAGGGTATACGAGTGCGTAACAGTAGTATAGGTCAATTTTAAATAAAAAAGAAAATGTTTATTTCAGACAAATAAAATATACGTTAATTCTTGTTATTTAATTGTAAACACAAAAAAATTGATTGTTAAAATATTTTTAAAAAATAATTCAAAAACAATTAAAAAATATTTATCAAAAAAAAAAGTAAAAAAAGAAAAACAATAAAGAAAAGAAAGGATGTTTGTGCCACTTTCTAAAATTATAAGAGTCAGCGGAGTTTTTCATATAATATTTGAAAGATGTAATTATATGAGAACCATGAGAAGTAACAACATAAGTTTTGAAATCACGAAGAATAAGAGTGTACATTTACGGGAGAAAAACTAAAGTATGACTAAAACATTGAGTATATACCAAAATAAGACTTTTATGTTTTTATTCTCGAAATAAAATTTATATTACCAAATATGGTAATGTACATTACCAAAAAACTATAGTAATGTGCAAATGTATAGTGTCATATTACCACGGTGCAAAATCTTATTTCGAAAAAAAGTCAATGTTTAAATGTTAAACATAGCTTCCGGCTGAAGTTTTTTCATAAATTCACCGCCATTTATAAACCTCCCGCCGTTCCCACCAAACCCTTCAGAAATCCTCCGTCTCCTTCCCACACACTCTCCTTAGGATCTCGAGAAATGGAGGATCCCGCCTCCCTCCCGCCCCGCTCGGAGACGCCAGTAGAAAACCCTAACCCTAGAACAATCCCCAATTCCAGGCATACGTCAAGGAACACAATCCACATAGGAGGGATTCCCGTGGAGTTCCCGCACCAGCCCTATGGCACCCAGCTAGCGTTCATGAACCGAGTGATTTCGACGCTCGACCGGTCGCAGAGGGACGGGCAATGCAACGCGTTGCTGGAGTCGCCTACTGGTACTGGAAAGACCTTGTCGTTGCTTTGCTCCGCCCTGGCCTGGCAGCAGAACCAGAAGTCGAAGAGTCGGCGTGAGAATTCGACCCGTTTGAGCTATTTGGATGCTGACCCTCGGGCCGTCACCAACCCAATTGATCACGGAGGTGGTTTTATTCCCGAGACTGATCCATCAGGTATTGGATACAAGTTGATTGTAGTTTTGATTGCGATTTTGTCTGTGTGCTTCCAATGGAAAAGAAGCGTTTTTTTGTTTTATTTACCTTTGTTCTATTGTTGAATTCGTGCCTTGATGTATATATTAATGGAAACTGCTCTCTGCATGACCCCTCCTGACCATAGATGGTATTTATGATTTATCATAAAGGTTCTTAATTTTAGTGCTAAAAAAGGTTTATGAAGTGAATTGTTGTAGAATAAGTCTACAAAAAGTTTCATTGTTTAGGAATTCACAAATCCACGGGAATACTTCTGTTGAGAAAACTATTCTGTAGATGAATATGTAAAAATTGTTTTGCTGGTGAAAAGCAAAACATATATTCAAAATTTGGAGCCTTAGGCACCTGCATTAGTTTCTTTTGTATAACGCTTTAAATATAGATTGATTGAGGACATGGCACTCAAGTAGGGACTTCTCATGAACGCATTCCTTCATCCTTTCTTTGATTGGATTTTGCACATATAAGAAACATTTTCCTCTGTGATACTCTGTTTGTCATGTTTTTTCATTTGCAATGAGTAAGTGGCTTACTAGGTTCTATATTTTTTCGAAAGTGCTGCTTATGTCTTAAATTATTTTAGGTGTTTATTAGGTCCTTATTTTTTTCAAAAGTGCTTCCAAGGTTCCTAAATTATTTTAAGTACTTAACAAGTTCCTATACTTAAGTAGTCCCTCTGGTGGCTTTCTCAGGCAAAGCCTCTAGACATTGTCACACACTTGTTAGTCGTGCAAAAAATTGTGGTATAACATATATTTATTTTTTTGATAAAAAACCATATTTTATCCTTTTTTTGCCTTTTTTCATTTTAATATAACTCATCATCTTTATTTCTCTCATTTTCTTATAACGGCTATATTATCCTCTTGAAGAGGGAAATGAAGAAGGTATAAAAAAGCGGGAAATAAGATGATGGGTTACATAAATATGGAAATGGAAAAAAGGGATAAAATATGTTTTTCTAAAGATGTTATACCATAAATTTTTTACACAACAAGCACATGTAGAACAATCTCTAGAGTCTGGGCGTGAAAAAGCAACCGGAGAGACTACTCACATATCAGTTAGAAAGTATAGGAACCTGATAAGCACTTAAAATAATTTAGAAACTTGGGGAGCACTTTCGAAAAGATATAGGAACTTAGTAAGCACTTAAAATAATTAAGGAACTTGGGGAGCACTTTCCAAAAAAAATATAGGGACTTAGTAAGCCACTTACTCTTTGACAATTGTTATGTTTCTTTTGGAGAATTTTCCATGTTTTATCTTAAATCCTAATGTGTTCTATAATTTCCCCTCTGCAGAAAGTTCTGTAACACCACAGTCCACCAGGACTCATGAAAAGAAAGAAAAGCTAAGATTGGCACCCACTATCTTTTATTCAACGTAAGCTTCATTTGGGCTATATGAGATGATGCACATCACACAGACACACTCAGGTATCTTTTATTCAATGTAAGCTTCTTTTGTTCTGTTTTATCAGAAGAACTCATGCTCAAATCAGTCAAGTCATTCAGGAGTACAAGCAGACTTCATACAGAGTTTCCATGGCAGTTTTGGTAAGTTTACTACAGTTCTAACTATCTATATTCAGTATTAGGTGCATTTATGATTTTGTATTTGTTTTGAGTTTTCAATCGTCACATGTTACAGATTTATACATCCTATCTAATCTGAAATGTGTGCACAGTTGAACCCAAGTTTGTTTGCTAATCTACTATTGTGACTACTGACTAGGATATGGGCTATGTCACATAATTGTGGCATGGAAGTAGGTATTTCGTATCACTACTAGACTTGGACTAGTAATTTTTGGCAAGGCAAAGAATGTGTAAACCTAACAAATAATAATGGCATTTAAATTTTGCCCTTAGTGGATGGCCTGCTCTAAGAGTTAAACACGACTCATTCTCAAACACATGCTGCTTGTGTTTAATTTGTCTGTTTGCTTATTCTGTTTTTTTCCATCCAGGGATCAAGGAAACATTATTGTACAAACCCTCATATACGCGGTGAAGAGAACGTTAATGAGAAATGGTTGATTCTTTTTCCTTGAAAAATGAATAACTTCTTGTGTTTGTCTTACTGCTCTAACAATAGTTTAAATTTTCAGTAAATTGCTATTGAAGAAGAAGAACAAAGAAGATACCTGCCCTGAATTCAAGTAAGTTTAGTTTATATAGGTATACTATGTCATATTCTACAATTCTACTATGTGCTCATGCAATGTCAGTGAGCTCATTGATAGACGTTCCTTTTCAGAAATGTTCCTAAAGTCAAAGGCCATCCTTCTCTACAAAAAGGAGGTAGCCATGAGGTCCATGATATAGAAGACCTTGTCAAAATTGGCCAAGTAGTTAAAGGTCCTTATCTACTCATCTCTTTGTTAGTATCTTCTTGGTGAGTTAATTAAGTACATCCCTGAAAGGGGTATTCCATTTGCAGGCTGTTCTTATTTTGCAGCGCGATCTATGGCACAAGATGCAGAACTTGTCTTCTGCCCTTATAACTATATCATCAATCCAATCATTCGAGAGGCAATGGAAGTTGATATTAGTGGGAGCATTATCATATTAGACGAAGCACAGTATGTCAAATCTACTTGATCCATAATTATTAAGTTGCTACAATTCCTACAAACCTATCTCTGTGTTTGTGCTTATTGATAAAGTAATACAGAGATAGTAGCGGAAAATGCCCAATTATTTTCTTTCAAGCTATGTGCCATGTGAGAACAAATTTATGAATGTACTAATTATTTTGCAACTCAACAAATTAAAATTTTCTCAGAATTTTTATTTCGTGTAGTGAAGTGAAAGTGATCACAAGCTATTTGGTTTATACCTTAACTTGTCACCTTAAGTGTTTGTCATCTTGTGAAATTTAACTTTCCAAACACTAATCCAGTAACATAGAAGACATAGCTCGTGATGCTGGTAGTATCGATCTTGACGAAGAAGTTTTGCTGGGTAAGTGCAAGCTTGAAACTTATAAATTGATTACGTGTTGTATCTCAGATTGATTTGTGTGTTTTTTTAAAGGGTTGCAGGCTGAACTTGGACAGCTGAGTCTCAATGATGACATGACTTACCAGCCTTTGTTTGAGATGACACAGGTGCTGCTCAACATAAGAGTATATAACATCTTTATTGGTTCCTGAACTTCTTGTGCCTATGTTCAAACTTCTTTTAATTTTTGTAGGACATCTTGAGTTGGATTGACCATAGAAAGGATGCTTTGGTAAAACATGAGTCTCAGCACTATTTCCATTGGTTAGTTTTTACTAATATAGTGATGATACCTTATCATCTTCTGTTTTGTTAGTGATACATGTTGCCAACCGGCTTCTAGAATATTATGAAGTGTGAACTCGAAGCTTCAAATATTTTGGTACTGCCGAGGGATGGCCATTTTTTATATTGGTTTGTGCTGCATATTTTGTCCTAAATTCAAGCTAAATAAGCCTGGAGATTTCCTGTCCTGGTTTTGGGTGTCTTGGTAGGATGCTGTCTTGCTGTTGTCATCCCTGATTGGTGACATCCTTAAACTTATACAGCTGATGTGAAGTTGAAGTATGTTTTAAAAGATGATGTTGCATGTCGATCCTAATATTATTTGTTAGTATGGTATGCATTATCCTGTTAGAGCATTGAAGTTTACGTTCTGTCTGCCTCCAAGTTTCAAGTCAGCCTGGAAACAAAGGAAATTGCCAAAAAAAGAAGCCTAGTTTCTTTAATGGGATAGACAACAATAGGACTTATATTTGGGTGCCATATAAAAGGAATAGATTTGTATTCAAAGTGCAGGGCCAAACTCTATTTTTTGGATTGGAATTAAAGAAGCTATAATAAAAAATATATATTCTGCATTGTGTTTGCCACTATTTTATGATATGAGGCTATCAGTAAGAACCTCTTACTTGTTTTTAAATCCAGATGCCACCTAACTCTATCCCAGTTAAATATTAATTCTTGTTTGCTCATTCAAAGAAGATAAACAAACATTATAAACTTAGATAAATTCGTTTCCATACACCTTGAACATTCAAAAAAATTGCATTATTTTTCCAAGAAAAATCCTACTTCTCATGTTTTTTTGTATTATTATTTTATTATGACCAATTCAGTTGGACTGGAGATAAGGCTTTAAAAGAGCTACAAGAAGCTAATATATCAGTGCAGAATTTCCCAATTTTGCAAGCATGTGCCAAGGAGGTACTTTAAACAAACAGTATGGAGTAAAGTTCAATTTGATGAATCTTCCCATGCTAGTTAACATGCAAATTGCTAGGTCATTTTTGCCACTATGCAATCTCTTACTGTGATGGTTGTGTTTATCTGAAGGCATTTAAAGCTGCTTCAGAAGCTGCACCAGATGTTTCTCATTTAAGTGGGTTGGCAGTAACTACATTAGAAGGTAACTTGATTCTGTTTTCATTTTTTCACATATTTACTGCAGTGAAATTCAATTTTTTGTTGGCATCATGAGTATCATACAGGATTGTTCTCTTCACTCAATTACTTCTTCTCTGGGAATGCCATCCATGCACATGATTTTGTGTTATCACTACAAAGATTTGTGAAGAAAGATGAAGGTGAGCAGTGATAACATCATTTATCATTGTGTTATAATACTAAGTTTTCTACTCTTAACCACTCCCTCCGTCCCACAAAAAGGTTCCACATTTCCGTTTTTTTGTCCGTCCTAAAAAAAGGTTCCACTTTCCACTTTTGGAAAGATTTTTGTGGCTCATATTATTCCTCTGCACCACTTTCAACCACACAATTTCACTTTTCTTAATCTCCGTGCCCGGTCCAACGTGGAATGTTTTTGCGGGACAGAGGGAGTATATCAGATTATGAAGGATACTAAAGCTTGCATTTCTGCCCTCTTTGTAGTTCATTTGTGCATTGTTCATGTATATTTTCACATAGTCTAAGCTAACATTATTCATAACAGCAAGACAGATATTTATGTGTATAATAAGAGAAGTATGGAGACATAAAATTTGTTATACAAGAGCTCCTTGAAAGATTGTATGAAAGTCTGCAATTGCACTTTATTTTAACAACTACTTAGGGTGAATGTCAAGCTCCATTTTGTAAGTATAGAATATTTGTTCATGATGGGGACCAAACTTTTTTATTTCACTATTTGCTCTAAGGTTTCCTTGAATCATGCGGATCTTCTTTTTTTTGTGTGCGATGAACGGTGGTGGATGGGAAGCAATCTCTCAAACAAAGCTATGTGTATTTAGGTGAAGATTTTGCAAAATTTAAATTGATAATTAGTGCAAAAATAATACAGATCAGGACTAGGTGTGATATATTTTTTTATAGTGATTCCTGTCAGAATATTTGATCTTTCATTTGGTGGCACGATTCATGAGATTCTCGACACGAGTTGATAAAGTAGCTGAGTAACTTGATACATTTCACATTAAAATAAGTTTGGAAGAATTATTATTTAATATGTAATGGCACTTTCAAAATCTTGTCCATCTTGCAAAAAGGAAAACATGAATGATACGCTGGACTTGAGGTACTAGCCGTGTTCAGTTTCATGGTTGCAAGATAAAGTTGAGTTGATATTGAGGAACTATTAAGTATTGACACTCTTTGTAAATTAATAATAATATGCATAAAAGTTTGTACTGTTGACTGTTCAGAAAAGTAAGCTTGTAAGTTTTATCTGTGTGCTCAGGGGCAAATTTTAATTATTGTATAAGGATTGGTGCAGGTGGTTTGACAAACACATTCAGCTTGTGGTGCATGAACCCAGCTGTTGTTTTCAAAAGCATTGCCAGCTTTTCACAATCCATAATCCTTACTTCAGGGTAATAATTGTTTCAAGGTTATCTCTAGAAGAGATGGTATTTCTGGTTAATCATTTACTGGAAATGTGTCTAGTTTACAGTTTCAGTTACAAACTTAGGAACTGTTCTCTTCGCCTAATCTGGATGCTTCTTTGAATTTTTTAAAATCTACTCTTGTCATCTGAATGTTTTTTGTCTAGCCTTTTCCAATCCTGTTTTACTTTTATTGTGTGAAGTATTACATCTAGTCTGCTAGTCTGATCTAAATCTTTCTGGTATTGTCTAGTCTGATGTGGTCTATCTTTGTAAATTGAGAATAAATATTTTGCAAAAAGTACCTTAAAGAGAACAATATCCTACCCGTACTCCCTTTGATTTCAATTTTGGTATGTCTACTAGCCTTGAAGTGTCATAATGCTCACAAAAGGGCACTGGACATCTGCTGTTTGCATTATGGTTAGCCACTGCTTCCAAATTCTGCATAAACATGCAGTTCTATTTCAACCAAACATTATAAGGCTAGAAAAAGAGTTTTTAGCTCAAATATTGATTAAATACTAAGATGGAAAGCTCACCAAAGTTTGAACCCAGAGGGGACGTTGACCCTCTGTGCTTTGGTATGTTGAGAAAGTGTGAATGAACTTCAATAGTATTAAAAAAGTACTAACATTTCAATATTCTCAATGTCACATGTTACGTAAATGACTAAATGTGTTCAGGTTGTTGTAATTGTCAAGGAACCAACTCAACCAAAAGCTCAAGCTTGTGGTTGTGGCCCAGGAACAGTTATTATTTATATTCTGACACGCCCCCTCATGTGCAGGCATAGTCTTTTTCGAGCCTTGCACGTGAAACCTTAAATTTTTTAAACTGGGTGGCGCTGAGTTTCGAACCCGTGACCTCTTAGTCAACGAAGCTCTGATACCATGTCAAGGAACCAACTCAACCAAAAGCCCAAGCTTGTGGTTGTGGCCCAGGAACAGTTATTTATATTCTGACACTAATGTTGAAAATATTTGGAGAAATGAATTCTTCTTTTCTTATTGTCACAGGACTCTATCACCCCTGAGTACTTTCTCATCTGAACTTGGTGTCAAGTTTGGTACTTGTCTCGAAGCTCCACATGTGATAGATGTTGATTCACAGGTGGATTAGTTTTTAGTTATGATTCTCAGCTTGTCTATGCCTATGGAAATTAAATCTTTCTGTTGTGTATGAGATCTTGACCACCATTTCCTATAGGTATGGGCAGCTGCAATTGCCAATGGTCCCTGTAACTATCCACTCAATGCAAGTTATAAAACTGCAGAAGAGTACTCTTTCCAGGTGTTATTTTTTAACGAAGCTGAAAAAAATTTTCTTGGTGTGTATATCTAGTGTATATGAGTGTGTCTATGCATGACATTGGCTGGGTTCTTGTAACAAAAAGGATGCAGTTGGTACCTCTTTGGAGGAAATATGCAAGGTTGTTCCTGGTGGGTGCCTGGTTTTCTTTCCTAGCTACAAGCTGCTGGATAAAGTAACCATTCGGTGGAAACAAACAGGGCAATGGTCTCGATTAAATGCTCAAAAATCCATTTATGTTGGTAATCTTATTCAGCTCTTTATTCTCTCACAACATGATTTTTTTTAATTGGTTGTAAAGATGCTAAAACAATAACAACAACCTAGTTGAATCCCGCAGGGTCTGGGGAGGGTTTGTGTATGAATCTTTAACACACATACAAAACATGTCTTTTCCTTTCTCATACTTGAAATGAATTACTGCTTATATCAACCTAGTATCAGTAACTGATTCTCGTGCTTTTTGCTTTCAGAGCCAAGAGGTAAATGCCAAGATTCTTTTGAGGTTGTCTTAAAGGATTACTATAATTCCATTCATAAAGGAACGGGATGGATGAGCAGAAGAAAGATAAGAGGTAAATCATTAGGTCTTAAAAAGGGAAAAGGAATGGAGTCCATGAAAGATACAAAAATAGAAGGTGCAGCTTTTTTGGCAGTTTGTCGAGGCAAGGTGATTCAGGCCATTACTTTGATTTACTTGAAAGTGAATTCTCTAAATGGTCCTTTATAACATGGGGTTTTCCAATATAGTCTTCTCTACTAAATTATTCTCTTTTCAGCTGAAATTCGTTTGTGAAAAACATCTGATATGATAGGTTACAGTTGATGTTCCAAAGCATATTAGAGCTATTAAAACTAAAGATTAAGAATGCATATCTGTTTTTTTAATTGCAAAAAGTGTGGCCATGCAACCCATTTATAGTGGCAATCACAAAATTTTATTTATAGGAGGAGACTATGTTTGAAAGGGATATTTTGTACTTCATTAAAATCACGGTTATGTAAGGGCATTGTTTCTTGCTACGAGGGCAGGGGAGTAACAGATTAGTTGTTTTGGTGATCAGAAGGTCACGGCCTACCAAGAAAAAAACATCTTAGAAAATATTGTCACGTGAAGGCTGCATGCAGTTACAATGTTTCTGAACCCTACCCCCGCGGGAGTGTTTGGTGCACTGGGGAAATAGGCGACCATAGTTTCATAATTAAAGTGTACAACTGACTTTAGTAAAGCTTGATTAGTCACATATGCACATAAGTTTCTTCTGTGCTTCATCTAGAACATAGGAAAACTAACTAGAAATAGAGATCTATATTGGTAATTTATAATGTCATCAAACTCAGGTTGGGATAAAACTTTTTTCTTGTTTATGACAACCTCTTTGTTCTACTCTCTGAAATATCTGCTTCAGAAATTGTGCTTGTGCGCAACTTTGTCTCTGCATGCTTAAGTTCACTGTTGTACATAATCTTTGCAGGCATCTGAAGGAATGAATTTCTCGGATGACAATGCCCGAGCGGTTGTATCCTTGCACATTTTGTTTTCACGATGAGATTAAATTTCTGCTCTGTTATTTACTCCCTCCGTCCCGCTATATTCGTCCACTTTTGACTTTTGGAACTGTTCATCTAAGCACTTTGACTCATCAAATTCTCTCAATGTGTAAGCCTAAATATAGTCATGTCTGATCTTGTTTGATTTGTCTTAACATATAGATTATTAATATATAATTTCTATAATTTTTTAATATACAAATTACAAGATAAAATGGATTAAAGAAGTGTATTGGATGGTGTGTAAAAATGAAAGTGGACAAATACTCTGGGACGGAGGGAGTATTTGTTTGTGACTTGTCTAGTGATTGTGGTAGGCATTAAGTTTTGTAGAGAGAGATGTCTGTCCACATTGAAATTAATTGGTGAACTTTGTATTTTGTGTCATCTGAATTTAGTTCTGCCCTGTCAAATGTTATGTCTTAACTATCTCAGGTGGTTATTGGGATTCCCTTTCCAAACCTGTAAGGATCTTCTTCTGTCATATACTTGCTATTAGGAATGGTGTCCATTTATGATATCCTTCATTATTGCCTTCGACAGTTACGACATCAAAATCTCACAGAAGAAGAAGTTCAACGACACACATGCGTTATCAAAAAACCTTCTAAATGGGAATGAGTGGTACTGCCAGCAAGCCTTTAGGGCGCTAAACCAGGCTACAGGTAGTTCTTTTAGCAACTAGCTAGTTCACGTTATCATTATACTGAAATATTTTATCTGATCTCTAGCACAGACGACAGTGATATTGTTTGTTCTCTATTGATTTTTCCCTCTTAAAAATTTATATATCTTCATTTGTTCTGCTCTGTTATCTTTCTCACATCACCTGCCTATGGTAAGATTCATTAACCGAGCCAAATAAAACAAACCAAGTATATCTCACTCAAGACTCAAAAGTATGATCATGGGTCACATATACCTTATCTCTACGCCAAAGAGAGGATGTTTCTAAGAGGACCACCAACAAACAGTAACAATGTAGTGCGAGTAGGAAAAAAGAGAACATCAACAACACCACTACACGAACTCTACAACCCTTATATTAACATCTATTAGATTTTTTAGAGGATACATTTATTAGATTTAGGGGAATTTATCTAAATAGAACTAAAACATAATGACTTTCCCTAAATAGCATCATATGTGTTTTTTTCCAATGTAACACTTTTAGTCATTATCTATTAGTCATTATTCAAGTAAATGTTCGACATTATTCCTCCTTTTGAACATTATCAAGTGCTATTTAGGGAATAAAACAATTTAAATGCTATTTAGGGAAATGACTTAAGTTTTAGTGCTATTTAGTGCAAATATTTTTTAGATTTAATTCTTCATTTTTGCTCTTGTTATTGATGATATTATTTATTACCAAAAAGTTTACCCTATGAAATTGAAAACTGTTCTCTCTACCAAGTGAGGTTTTGTGCATTTTCAATAGAGATAAAAGAGTCATTATTGTCAATCTTTTAGTTTTGGGTAAATAATGGAGTAAATCAAAACGGAAAATTAAAGTTTCTCTGTTTCTTACTTTTGATGACGTTGTGAGTAGTGAATTCAGCATTGCATTTGGAAATAACCTCCCTGTTTTTCACAAGGGTAAGGTTGGGTACATCTTGACCCCCATACCGTAATGGAATTGGGATTATATTGGGATTTTGTTCTACCAAATGAAGCTGTGGTAATAGCTACCTAAAAATCTGCATAGAATAAAATATGCTTGTTGGGGTAGTTGATGACCATATCTAGTGTATACAGAGTGGGTATTTGGGACTTAAAGTTATTTTATCAAAAAGTGATTTTTTTAACCATAGGATCCAAAACGCCTCATTGCTGCTTCTCAATCTCTACCAACAGCTAAGAACCAGGCACCAAAAGCACCACTAAACATTACCAAACTACTTTTATATTTTTATCTAATGCAGAAGCTAAGAATCAGTCATCAAAAGCACTCACAAAGACCCTCAAACTGTTATTATGCTTTGCATCTCTTTCTTTCTTTCTTGAGCAAGCATCTTGTTAGTGCTCTTTAATAAAGTATGGGTGATTATTTTAGCCAAGGATCAACAGATTGGGAAAAGAACTGACAGAATTGTAATACAGCTAGTATTTTCTTTTGGTTTACTGTTCGGTTCCCCCTCCCCCCCACCCCCACCACCAAAAGAACTTCGAGTTCCTTGTTATATAAATTCTACGGCCTGATACCTACATCTTCAATTGTATTTGTTGTAGGCCGCTGCATACGGCACAGATTTGACTATGGAGCTATCATCTTCTTAGGTAAGGATAAGTGGTTAACTTCATTTTTTTTCTGATTCAGAGGTTTATATTAGACTTTAAGCAAATCAAATTGTACATTCAATTCTTTGGTGGTTCTGTTATTTCTAGGTGCTGGGCAATCCTCCACTGCATGCCTGGCACCTAGTGTCTTACATACCAATGCTCCCCACCTATTGCAACTATGAGTCTGCTACCATCACTGGAAAATTTTGGCCACATCCAATTCACCCACCACTATCCTCGTCCAGCATGGTGTCCCATTTCGCTGAAGGGTGGGGGGGGGATGCGGTAAATCACGCAGACCTACTTCCACCATGTGGAGGGTGGAGAAGCTGATTTATTCTTGATTCAAAATACAGATTAGTAATTTTGAAATTGTGCTTTGCGGTTTTGTAAGTACATTTGCAAAATGTTGTTTCCTTTTGCATACAGATGAGAGGTTGCATCAGAACCGAAATAGAGCGCACATATCAAAGTGGCTGCGAAAGTCGATTAGGCTGTACAGCAGGTTTGAGGATTCACTGGATAGTTTGAAATCCTTCTTCAAAGATGTGAAGGTATTAGGGAATGTTTTGGCTCATTTTCTAGTATGAGTTTGGAATTAGGAAATGAGTGGTTTAGAAGGTTTGAGGTGTGTATCCCATCCCGATTCCCTCTCATTTCTCATTCCCATCAACTAAATGCTCCCACCAACTAAAGATTTGTGTGGTTTATATTTTTTCTATCATTCTAAATGAGCCTACCTCACTATTTCATTTTCCTAATAAGCACGCCAAGTCAAACTTGGAAGATAATTTTAAGACTGAAGCAATATATTGGTGGCACTGATAATAAAGTATGCGAATGCAGGGGAAATCAGTGAATCCATCACAGGATCCTGTGGATAAGAAAATCTGGGCAAATAGGAACAACGATAATAATAATAGTAGTAGTAGTAGTAGTCAATTAACAAACCAACCAAAAGTCGGATCAAATAGTCATCTACCGGTTCCAGTTGCAAAATATGGTGAAGCTCAAACCGATCTCGAAATCTTGATTGTTGACGATACACCTGAAAGAGATGATTGCTCAAGCCCTCCTCCTACTGCTACTATTACTACTGCTACTGATGTTATAAGACCTGAAGCAGATACTTCCTGGAGTGTCAATTGTAATGCTACCTGCAAAAGAAGAAAAATGACCGGGTTGTCCCCCATTAAAATGTCTGATAGGTATACTAGCTTGACAGGTTCAGTTATTGAAGAGGAGACATGCAATCATTCCACAAAGCAATATAGCAAGTTGGAATCAACAACACCCTCTGAGCTGAAAATATTGTTCTGCTCACGCTGCAAAACCCCTTTGGGTCTTCCTGAAAATTTTTCAATTATGAAGTGTAGACTAATTTCAACATCAAAAGTTCATCTGATGTCTCTACACAACAACTCCAATCCATCGGCGCAAGGCGTGGAGGTTTTGGCGTGTGACACATCATCACTCAATCGGCGCATTCTTGAAGAAGGTTCTTCTTCTTCTGGGCAGGGGATTTGGTGCAAAGAAGATGGGTGTGTCTTTGATTCCATCTTTTGCCCCTTTTGTGTTCCCCCCCATAACAGTGTTCTTGGTGTTCATGTGCTGGCCACTGATGCACTCAATCTCAAGCTTCAAAACAAGGTTTGTGAATGTTGATTGAGACAATCTTCATGTTATTAACTTATTATCCACAACCATGCTAGATGTACACGGTACACTAGGATGGTGGACATCAAATGTACACCATCCAATTCTGCACTACACATACATAACTTGTCTTTGTTGAACATACACAACTCATTTGTGACACAAATGAGTTATGTCCGTGTCAAACACATTTCTTATGTGCCACAGATGAATTGTCTTTTTATTGCAAATTTTAGTTTGTGTACACTTGGTGTACAAATAAAGATGATTTTTTTTTGAAAAAAAAATGAAAATGAAATTTGATTTATTTCTTCATTCCTAATTGTTTTCCCTTACATTTTTTTGCAGATATTGTTTTTTCTTGACAGCTTGGAGATTGAAAATTTCGAGGCACATAAGAGACATTAATATTATGTTACAAAAGAGGAGGTAAATTAGTAGTTATTCTCAGATCTATCAGTTTGCATGGGTGAATTCAAATTATTTGTGTAACATTGGTGGTCCGTATGGTGGTAGAGGCTAGTTTCACTGGTGGTAGTTTTTAAAGTTTTATTTTATTATTTTTGTATAGTAATTTTATGTACTACTGTGTTGGAGGGTACTTCTAACAACCTAATAATGTTAGTCAGTAGTCAATATTCTATTGTAATACACTTCTTTACAGAAGTTAACGAGTTACTTGGTGAAAAAAAAGTTTACATTCACTTGTACTCTTTTTGTTCTTATTTAATTTTTTTCATTTGCTTTTTGTACAAAGTACAAAAATAATAATACTCCGTATAAAATTATGCAGTTGAAATTTATGTAGACGAGAATTGTAGAGTTGATAACATAGTCTTTTAATTAGAGATGCTTCATCCTCATCTTACCCCATTCCTCCTAGACAAGCTTTTTGCAAATGAATCTACTCGTCTTTTCTAAATTCTCACTCATTTGAGTAATGTGTAAAAATTTATCTTTTAAAAAATAACTTTAGTTTCAAATTGGTATTTCTTTCGTTTCAAATTAAATTATTTTTTACTATTTACATAGTCATACTCTGATCATTTTTTTTTTCTATTTTTGTGAAGTATAAATGTAGTAAAAACATTCGGGTAGGATGAAGTATCTCGAATTACAGGGGCAATATTGTCAATATATGAAAAAGTAAAAAAAAATGTGGAGTGCCACTAGTAAATTGTGGAGTGTAGATATCAACTCCCTCCCATGAGAATTCACATGAACCACCATTCTTTTACTAAAAAGTAAAAAGAAATGCAAACCATAAAAAAAGAAATAAAAAAGTACCGAGGAAGTATGTGTTGGGGAACTCATTTTCTTATAAAATTAAAAACAAAAAAAAATGATCCCTCGGTCTTTAAATTAACTATCCAGTCAGTGTACAAGATTTGATTGACTCTATTTTAAATTCAATTTATTTGATTATAGGTGTACACTTTTTTAAAAAAATCTATATTTAAAACTACCTTAAAAATCTATATTTAAAATAAAAAGATGATTATATTATTTTATTAAATTAAATAATTAATAAAATTAGATTTAAAAAATGAATAAAATTTGATTTTGTATAATAATTAAGAAAATAGTTTTTACAGGGAGAGAATATAAAATTGATTTGTGGTTCCAATACTTCAATTATTCTTTTCTTCTTTTTTCATATGGTAGTACATTTTTTTATCGAACGTTGTTAGAGATCTTGGATTTAGACAAACCAATATTTTTGTCCCCAACCAAAGAAACAAAAACTTACTCGAATTGACCCAAAATATAAGAGCTTATTCTAAACTTTGCTTATAAGCAGTTTTGGAACCCATTTAGACTACAAAAGTAGTAGTAATAATCTAATCGAAAGTGTGGTAGGTTGTTGTAAAACAGAAGGTTTAAGCTAAAGCGAAAAGTAGATATTTTTAACTTTGCTTAAACACTTCTGAGCTAATTTTAAACTGCAAAAATCATAATCTATAAAGAGAAGCAGATTGACAAACACGACAAACATTATTTTAGTGAAGTAAAAGCTCATAAATTGTTTTTCAATGCAACCCCAAACACCTTAATGAAGCAAAAAACTTATAAGCAATTTTTAAAAGCAACCCCAAACGCCCTCTTAGAGGGCCAATGTAGTTGAATAGGTGTGACGAATCCAAGACAACCCTTGGGCAAAGGCCATAAGGGGGGGTATAAGAACTCATTCCGTTCAACTTATTTTTTTGATTTATTACGTATTTTTATTAAAATCAGATCAATATCAAATCCAATCATATCAGACATAATTAAAAACAACAATAAATATAACTACGATCAGATCAGATCTTTAAAAAATCTGATCTAACTTGATGTATCTTTTTAAGTACATACTCTATAGAAATAACTAGGGAAAATGCTTGAAACTTTCCAAACACAATTCACACACACATTGTTCACATCAACTTGCACTTGGTTTTAATGGCAATTCCTTGGGGAGACGGACGAATTCGGAACAAAGATTCGAAATCATGACGGGACACTTCCCCTTCTCATCATAATCAGAGTACTCACCATCGGTCAATTCAAAGCCCTCAAATTTTGTTCCTTCAATCTGTAAAGGAAAAAATAATAATTCAATATATTTTAGGCCAAGACAGCAGACAATTCTAGCTAGCATAAAGATAGGAATGAATGAATGAATAAAACACAGAACTGATAAAATAGGGAAGAAGCACTTACAGATTCAGCTTGCCATGCACCCCTAAAGTGAAACTGCAATGGCTCAAAACCCCTGCAGTCAAAGACCATTGCAGGTGTAAATGATCCTGACTCACTAGCTTCCTGGGTCAGTGGGTGGCCATGCCCAGTTACCATGGTCAAGTTTCCAGTCTTCGTGCAGAACTTGCACTACGGTAAGATCATCAAAGTCAAACAAAAAATTAGAGGATGATTTCAAATATATAACCCAGAAATATATAAGATAATTCCAATGACTATGGTGAACTTCAACATAAGGTGTACTGAGATGATATTCTCAGTATCATGCACTATGCATGCAAACTTAGGTTGTGTTCTGTAATGGGGAAAATATTTTCCTAGAAGAATTTTTTCCAAAGGAAAATGATTTCCAAGAAAAATTATTTTCCAATCATATTTTCCGTTATTTGGTAGAAAGGAAAATGTTTTCTTAAAAAAATAATTTCTATTGTTATTACTCCCTCCGTCCATAAATAAAGTTCTCACTTTCCTTTTTCGTCCGTCCAAAAATAATCTTCCCATTTCTATTTTTGGAAAGTTTTTTATACCAAAAAGTCTAAATTACCCTCCCCACCCACTCCCTATCCTTTCTTTTTCTTTTTCCTTCCCCACCCATTTCCTTTCCCCAGCCGTCACTCCTTTCTTTCTTCTGTTTTCTCTCTTCTTCTTCTCTCTTCTCTTATCATCTTCTTCTTCTTCTTCTACTTCTTTCTTCTCCTTTGCTCTTCTAATTTTTTTCCTGTAAATTGAGAGCAGCGAATCGCGGAGTAAAGGTGAGGCAGCGAGGCGGTGGCGGTGGTCGGAGGTAAAAGGGCGGTTCGATCTCCTCTTCTTCTTCTTCAATTCCCGGTCCAATGCCCAGTCCATCTTCAACTCTTCTTCTTTCTTTTCTTCTTTCTTGTCCATCTCCATCAGATCTGAGAATTTTGATTCAGATCCGAGGTCAGCGTCAACAAAGAAATCGGCGGTGGTGGCTGAGTACAGGCGCCGATTGAAGGAGTAGGCATAGGTGACGGCGAGCAGTGAGGTGCCGATTGGATCGGAATAGGTGACGGCTGTCGGTGATAATGGCAGAGCGGCGAGGAGATTCGGCTTTATTGGGGGGGGGGGCATCCGATTGCAGAGACTGAAGAAAATGGGTGGACAAGAAAAGAGGAGAAGGGATTGGGATGAAGGGTATTTTAGGAAAGTCAAAGTAAATTTCATGTTTTATTAAACTCCGTGCCAAGTCAAAGTGAGAACTTTCTTCTTGGACGGAGGGAGTATTTGAAAATTGATATTAACAAAAGATGTTTTGAA